TTTTATAGTGTTAAGAGTCGACAAAGTGAAGAAACATCCAATTTTCAAGATAATCTCGAGGAGCTCACAATCACTGGATTTGAATAAATTGACTATCATGGCTTCAAAACTGATGGACTTTAGGTAAATGACATTGAAACAATTGCGTTCTTTGAGCTGAAACCTGGCGAACATCGTTGACGCAGGAGCCCTATAGTTTAGAAGCACTTTGTTCTACATTATTTTAAGAGTTTAAAAAATGCCATTCCATTCTAGGCATCAGGCTCCTCGGAGTGCAGGGAGCTCGATCGATGTTACAATGTCAACGAAAACGGGAAAATATACTCTTAGGAGAAAATAAGTATATAAATAGTCAGCGATACAATTAAAARACCCATGCGCTGCAGATAATACATTCTTAGTCTCAAAAACGCTGGTTTTGAATTATAAGCTCAAAACGGAAAAGGGTAGTTCACTTATTCAGCTAGACCAAGCGCAGGAAAACCAGAATAAAATCAAACTAAAATCATACTAACAAATAGCGGCTAGTTAGAGACAATTTGTCAGTATCAATGAACCAGATAACACAATAAAGATGATGAATTAAAAATGGTTTTCTGGTTCATTGCCACTGACAAATAGCCGCAATCTAAATAGCATTAAGTTTGATTTTAGACTATTTCATGGTTTCCCTGCGCTTGCTCTACTGTATTTGATCATTTTGATTAAATTTTAGCGTTAATTTTGAAGTTGACTAGCGCAATTGGAGGCGTTGTGCAAGAGAACACTGGCGTGACGAAAGTGCGTTCACGCTAGAAAAACTCATTCTTGTGTTAATATGCCAACCATGATCAGAATAGCTTTTCATAAGTCGCTCTTTGTTTTATCAGCCAATCGTCTTCTGCCGTTATAACACGAATAACTACATATATATATATAAGGCTAAGTATCTGCTATTGATTAGAGACGGGGAAATAATAACTTTTGTCTGTTTAGATGTCTATAAAGTGCTATTGTATTTGGTGGAATTTTGGTGAATTTACGATTCATAGGGAAATACCTAATTGTAATGCTTGACATCATAGTTGCCTTTTTCCACGAAGAATCATCGAGTGATGTCATTTGCTCTATATTTGGATAGATGTTTGCATTATTGAGGCAAATTCTCTGAAACGGCAAGGCTACACGCGGGCCCTATCATCTTACCTTCCTTTTTCAATAACAACTCACTGTTCTTGACTGTTTCACTGTTCGTAAGTGAGCTGTTTTGGATGTTTTGGATATGCCGAATGCAACTTGTGTCTTCAAGTGTATAGGTAGAATCCTATTTAGTTCGCTTCTACTGCTGCAGATTGGCATTTTGGCTATTAAATATCTTGGTTATTCAAATGAGAGTGCCATTGGCTGTGTTAGTCTTCTCGCTTTGCCTGTTTTGCCCATTTGGTTTTGTTGCAGTAAGCAACTGTCAAAGCTATGGATAGTGTGGACGGTCTACGTTGTTGTAATGGTTATATTCATAAGTATGATTTTTGGAACCGGTGTATTAGCTAACATTCCCGACGACAGCTTTTGGAATCAAGGAACATTGAAGCTGACTTGTGCATAACTCCTCCAATCGCYGTGTTGATGATATTTTCGGCTTCTGATTCACGAGATTATGTGGAGCTTGTTGATCACCTTTGCATGAAAATCTCTTTGCATCTTTTGGATACCATCGAAATACTAGCCATAACAATAACACCGGAAAAACCACCACTCTCACAATTTATGATCGATTTTGTTGCGGTGTTTGCAGCCATCAGTTTGTTGCTATCGCCTCTGGATATTGCTGAAAATAAACTTTTACGACCAGGAAAATACAAGTTGCGTAAGAAAGTGTATCTATGTAAACTGATACTGATGATGGTGACGAATATATCGCTGTTGATTACTCGAGCGATAGCATGGCTCTATTTCAAGCGAGAGGCATCTCTCTTCATCACAAAAAACGCAATAACTATGGGTATCTCATTTGTAGAAATCATGAAATGCTGTAAATGTTTTAAAGACTATAAAGCCTGTAAATACCGTAGATGTCGTAGCTCAGACAGTGAGGACAGCGAATCCTGAGCCCAAAAGAACTGGAAAACTCAGCTGTATTCATCACAGACAAAGAGTATATTAGCCTCAAAAACACACATTGTGTTCTCTTATTAACAGCACSTGCAAGAGAAGAGTGAGTATAGAAAACCATTTGTGTAGTTAGAAGTCTCACGAGTTCTATTTTGAGGCTACCTCATTTTTCCACTTTCGCTGATATTCCTTATTATCTATGTCAAATTAAGATCTTTGTACGTCTTAGCCAAGYATGAATGGGTTCATTATGGATCTGTGGATGTGCCTTACGGGTGTCTTATACCCGCGCTATATATATATTTTAAATAAAGTATACTCTCAAAAGAAGATCGCAGTTCGATCCAATACAAAATGTAGTCGAGCTTTATGATATCATGTACAGAGAATATTTACATGGGTGCGTGGAGATATGGATTTCATCTCCAGGTGTTGAAAAACTCTCTCACGATCGAGTGAGCGCAGCAAACGACYGACATGYATGTTTTCAMAATGGAAGATAAAAGYTATATCTTCAAGCGACYATGTRATATTCTGTTTATCATATAATCACCTATGGAATTATGCTGTAAAATGACAATTTTATAATTTACCTCGCACTATATATAGAAATACCATGAATGTGATATTTTCACTAGGTAATCATGTACAATTTCTTCCTCTTTTTTTTTCAAAAAGGTCACATTGTACTGGCATCGGAGGGCTCGTGCAATTGTGGTACTTTTTAAAAAACTYACTGGTGAAAATTATTTCCAAACTGGAAGTCGTATGATTACCTAACTAGACCCTGTATATATGCAGGGTTGACACGTTCACTTTGTTGTATATGATGTTGTAAAATCATTAGTAAATGAGAGGCCTTRAGCCTTATCAAAATATAAAATACAAAATCTAAAATGATTTGTTGTGATTCTGAAGTATAATTTTAGGGTCGGATATATAACTAGGCATGAGTTGGTTATAACGTGACGTTTTACTTTAACTTTCTGTTATGATGGTTTAACTTTCTGTTATGATGGTAACACAATATTTTATATCTAAAATTAATAAGCATTTTCTAAAGAGTTTTATTGATATTCAATCATAATAATAACCGAGAAAATAGAGAAATACATATAAAATTACCTATGATACACTTGATATACAACTAGACGGGTTTGCGATCATTTATAATAACTGGCTGGTTTGCTCGTTTTGTGCGGCCATTGCCGTCGCTTCACGGATAGTACTAAGCGTGTTGATCTCTGTATTTGAGATCTCCTCGTCATCATAATTCGACATACACTTGATCCGAACACCCAGACGAGTAATGAGTGACAGATTTTGGTCGTAAACTTGTATGTTCTGTCGCATATTCGCTAGTAGAGACAATCTTCACTTCAAAATGGCGGATGGAACACTGTGACACTACTGTGAGTTGAAAATGTGAGCAAAAGGGATTATGGGGTGGCATGGGTGGCCTAGTGGTTAAGCTGCTGGCATCTCACCGATGTGGTCCGGGTTCGATTCCCGGGCACGGGACACATGTGAGTTTGAGTTTGTTTGATGTGTTGTTCTCTCCCTTGCCACGAGGGTTTTTCTCCGGGTACTCCTGTTTTCCTCTCTCAGTAAAATTTAATCAACATGTGAGGAGTGTTGTGTGCTAAAATACTTAATGTAGAGGTAGTTAGTGTGAGAGTAAAGGGTCCGCAGTAATTGGCTCAAGCTGTTCCGGTGTCCCTGCCCAACTAGGGGTAAAAGCTAATTAATAGCTTTCCGAATATATAACGTAATGTGATTGGCTACGAAAATGTGCCGAAGACAAACTTTCGACATTGTAAAAAACTAACAAAGAAAGTAGCAGCATTTTACTACGCGTCCCCTGCATAGCAAGGCACGTGTACATGTAATTATTTTTGTTTTGACTATAAATGCGACATTGAGCATGACTTTCATACTCCACTGATTCATTKTCAGATCAKAAAATCCGGCGATGATGACTTTAAGCATCACTCACTTTCAGCTCATGTTTCAAAACCTTCCTCGTGTTCTCCCAACAATATTCCCGCGGAAAATATCTTCTAATGAGATTCAAGGAAAGCGTAAACTGAATTCCAAAGCAAGATAGGATCAGCAAAGCGGTATTTGTGATTGGCGTCCTACTGAACCTCGTTCAGCTCATTCATGCAAAGTGCTCGAGAATATTATTTCCTTTGATCAAAAACATAGAAAGTGTCTAGCTATCTATGCTATAAAATGTCGCGTCGTGCAACGCTTACGAATTCTTCAGTCTTCCCTAGCAACATCCAGAAATGGATAGAGCGGATGCAGCACCGAAAGTTACTGTGAGTACGGATTATCGATGGCAATATTTACTCATGAGAGCCATCAATAACATCATTTTTAGCAGATAATTGAATACCCGCAGTCGTGCAATCGACGTTATGCTTTGAAGTACCTATATACACCTTTATCATAATGGCGGCAATTGTGTTTTTCCAAAATAAGATAGATATGAATATTTTGTCACTGTAACATCAAAGAACTATCAGAAATAAACATTTTTGGAAAGTTTTAGAACTCTGCACAAAATAGGGAAAAAGTTACGGTGAAATAAAAATACAAAGAAATGTATGTAATTTTCAGCCAAGGCCTTTATAGCCTCGTTCTGGTGTTATGATATATTTTAAGTCCTTATAACTTCACCAGAATTTAATGTTTTCATTTCAAACTTTTACATGTTGTTATTAGCACAGGTTGCTATCAGCTGTTAGTTTACTTTGACTAAAATTCTAAATTTTAAAAATTTATGTTAATTAGATGGCGGCCATTATTGTAAAGGTGTATACAGACGTACAATAACCATCCTTAACGAATTCAAAACATCTTGAAATCCTGCGATYACCAACAGCGGTTGCTAGCATGCGCAATAGTCCCTGCTGTTCCCATAGTTTGCTGGGTATTAAACACCTCGATGCGCTTTGGTTCTGAACATCAAAAATGGTAAGATTTTTTATTTAGATCTTCTAATCATTTAAATTCGTTTTCTGTATTTATCGGTTATTGCTTCCTCTGACTGAAGGAATGTCACAAAGGATAACGAAACAAAGTATAATATAGACATTTTTGAATAAAAAGTAGTTTAAAGAATAGTCAGATAATTATAATACTTCTTTATATTACAGTAAACACCTGAAGATAAGAACCTTGTTATTTGAAAGTCTGTCAAAARAGTTCTTGTKTTAAGGGGTAGTTGTTRGTAATTTTGGCAAAACAGGTTCCTAATTAGGTTCTTATTTGCTAAAAGGGGGATACACTTCAGTTGTTATTGTCTTGCATCCAGTAAGATTATATAAGCTTGATATGGACTCAAATTATATATAATCTGTATAATACTGGAATATTATGTATATAAACTGTAACTTTCAACTACATAACAAGTAAATAATCAACTCAACAACTGTARATACATTCAGTACAATATTTATAAGCAATTCTCAAATTGAGTAACTTATATTATGTAAGAGCCGAGAACGGAGGTATTATATTGATGGYGATTTTATCAAACCATGATTTTCATACAATCACATTTAAGAAAAAACGATAACTGTGAATAGAGCCGCGGTTTGAACAGGTGTTTCACATTTACTATTTATAAATGTGCTTCATAATCTCTGTTTCTCCTGACTGTTTATCTAAATTCCTCTTAGCTGCTTTTGATGACGTCCTTAAAGTGCCTATGACGCCTGACAAATAATTTCTGATTCTCTGTGAGCTGATTCTATATAAAGTAAATAATTGAATGGCGAAATATTTCTCGTGCATTTCAGTGTTGCGTCTTTGAGTTTTGAATGTTTAATCTTCCAAAATGCTAATGTAAGGACGTCAAGGGAGGCTTCATTAGATATTCGAACTTTGAAACTGTCGCTCAAACATTTTTTCAATGAAAGAAAAAAAACTTTTCTTAATTCTAAAGTTAAAACCGAGAATCGAACAGGGAGTTTTTTGATTATTCCCAACTAAAGGCAAGTGAAATTTGTTTAACACGCTCGCTCCGCATCGAAAATGTCCGTATAGCAAAACACATATGAATTGAAACATAATTCCTGTAAATATGAAAGGAAATCGTTGTTAATTTTTTTGTTTTCGAATGTTTTATTTTCACTGCTTTAAAGTGCGTTTTCGAGTCGGCTTTGTAGCGATGGTCTCAGTCGATAGATTTGTGTAATTGTTCTAACATGATAATCTACATATTGAGGTTTGGAAATTAAAAAAAAAATCGTTGTGTTTTGGCGCGCAGGAAAAGCAAACAATATTAATACTATTGATACTTGTTGATTCTTCTGTGCAAAATTGATTTATTTTTAATTTTGATTTAATTTTGCACAGAAGAATCAACAAGTATCAATAATAATATGCCTGTGTACGACGAAATTCTTAATATTAATACTGTTTGATGGCTGGTGTTGGCCATTACGACATCAGATTGAAGTCTCGAATACACTATCAGAAAGGCTAATGCTTCAACTATGACATATGAACTATATACGGGTATTTTTATGCGAAGCGAGCGAGTTAAAAAAGTGACAACTTTCACTCGCCATTAGTTAATCTTCTTTTTGTGTTATAGGTTTTCTTCATGCGTTGRCTGGAAATGCTCATGTTGTCCATGTTCAGGCGATAATAAGTAAGTGTCCCCAGCTAAGCAAAGGTTACCAAAGGCCCATTATTTTAAGGTACGTAGGTCGTCTATAAAACACATTCAAGTAGTTCGATAATTGCGGAAAGACAATCGGTCATTTTTTGGATATATATAATAGGTTCACCATATATTTTCTAGATAACGAGGAACTGAAAAAATCTCGTGACAATAACCATGTTTATTGCATTGTAGGATGTGTGTTCCTATYCATACGAGTTTCGTAGTGGCGAGAAAATAGGCAGCAAGGACTAAATAGAAAGTTGTGCATGCATCGCATTCTCAAAGTGCAATTCATGCTGTAATACTTAGTGCAATTAGGCTATCCGTCGTCAAAAAATGTTTTCATCCAGAGATTTTTGTYTTTTTTCGCGAGTTTAATAAAAGATATATAGAATACAATGACCTGCAGTGCGATAGGACATACATCTTGGTATTGTAATGTGTAATTTATATAGGAAATACCACCGATCGAGAAGGATTTATGAAAAATACCGCGCGTATTTGATGAAAGTGAGAATTAATACCACGAGTGAGAATTTTTCATTAATTCTTCGAGAACAAAGGTAGCATTTCCTTTAAATATCATACCTACATAATATTTTCGATTCTATCGCATCTAGGGGCATTCATAATAGCGAAAGAATATCACCCGCAGATCATTCGCAAAAACTGGGGATAGATACGTAATTAATAGCTCTCGTGGTAATCATTAATTGCATTTGAGAAAAGATTCACGGTCAGCCAATCAGAATCGAGAAGTTTATGTAGGTATGATATTAATACATGAGGATATATAGCAAGTAGCTCGTGCATGGGATCAATCTTTAAAGACCTGGAGTATCATGAAACGTTTTGAGAACTTTCCAACATGAATCTTAGAGAGGATTTCTTTTGACTGTGCAAAAATCACGGTACTTTCGCGCTGTGATGTATTCTAGCGGTGATGTATTGTTCAATCTTTATTTTTATTTGGAATCCTAGAAGGCGAGGTTCCGTGACCRTGCCGTGCTGTGTCCGTGTTGTGATCCGTGCCGTTGCACAGTCACATGAAATCCGCTTAAACCAATGAAGAGCAATCTATACGTGGTCAGATCTGGTCATATCACACTTAAATTCTTTTAAAACAATAAAGACTGAATGTACAACAGGAAACCTCAGACTTATCTTCCTTATGCTAAATTTTGCATATTTGCTTTATTTAACCAAGAAATGGCCAATGACGTCATTGTCTACCTTCTTGTGRTGWTATCATTGTCCACTGCAAATCGATGCAAGAGATCAATTGATTCAACTCATGGAACRCGACTGAATAATCACGTGATTGATGACAGCGTTCAAAGCAATCAGGTCGATTGCATACAGCGATGCATGAAAAAGCGCAACTGCTACAGCATGAATTATCACATGTCCGACAAGCTTTGCGAGTTGAAYAATGGTAACCAGTTGTTGTTTGGAGATGACTTGGTGAGAGATGATGGGTTTATTCACATGGGAAACCCTAAAAAGATCCTTGATACTGAAAAACATGTAAGTCGTTGTTTATATAATGTGTATGTCTATAAATAGAATAAATTGAAGAAAAAGGCACACAACTTGCAACTTGGTTTTCTACTGTTTAATGAACGTTTCGGGCATTCGCCCTTCTTCAGCAAACTCTGTGTGTATGTGTATATGTATACATGGCTTGTAGCTTCGTTTATTTAATTCTCGTTGAAAGAGGTAAAGATGTTTGAAGCTTTAAAATTTATTCAGCAATAAACTAGAGCAGTTAACTACAAATACAGATTAAGTCACTCWATCTTGTGCGCATTCTGATTGGTAATAGCCTTTGCATGCGCTCTGTTGAGACGTTTTGATAGAATTACCCGCTCCTGGAAAAAGTTCAGAAAACATTGCATAAAAAAAATGCGTCTCGTGGTTCACTTTTTTAAWCTCATCACATTGTCAAGTACGTAATCTGCATGTGTGCATCATCTGGAGAACTGAGGAGCACGAGAAATTGATCGTGAATATATGTTCTTGCTAATTATTTATATTTCTCAGTCATGCATGGAGATAAAGATGTTCAATGCTTCTGCAAAAAGTGGAAACTATAACATAAAAGTTGGAGATCAATCCATGATGGTGTATTGTGATATGATGAATCATGGTAAGTGAACACGAGAAGAAGAGGTTCTCGTAGTACGTAGAAGTTGTAATGGAGGAACATAAAGGCAGGTATTTGTGTGTAGAAGAGGTAGGGCTGGAGTTCAACCGTGGCACGCATCATTATTTTTCTCAGGAAAGCTCTTTTCATGTATAGTTTAAAACACGAGAGAGAGTGTTTTATCAGGTATAAAGGTCCGCGCATGTGACCAACTAGGCTCATTCTATTGGCCTAGTAGCTCATTAATTATGTATGAGTTTTTTAATACTGAGTAAAAGATTTTAGATCTCAAAATGTTTAAGTCTAATTTCCTAAGTGAAGGAGGAGATTATATGCCAGTTCTATCTCTGTAAATAAATCAGGCTCGAACTCCATGCGTAATGTCAGGGAAATAAGGTATACAGCCCATTCAGCCCAATGCTACAAATAGCAATGAAATCCGATATAACTAGACGCTCTAATATAGCGCGAACTCATGTCCTGAAATGGGGAGTTTAGGGAGATTTGAACTCATATTGTTGATGTTTTCCGTATACCATTCAACCAAAAAAATTTTCGTAGTCTATCACGTTTTTCATTTTTATAAGATGAAAGAGAAAAGTTACATCTTCTATTTTCATAAGCAATAATACAGCCGCCTTGTGTTCTTCGCACCTATAGTTCCAACATGGCCGTCATGGCAATCTATACTGTTTTTCCGTATAATTTGAGTCTTTAACCCAAAAAGATGTCAGTAATAATAATTCATAAGCTTTCATTTCCTATCTACATGTATTTACCATTGCAATGTAAACTTATTTAGGTTTTACCACATATATTAGCGAATTATTATCGATTAAAAGGCTCTAAACGAGTACAATAAACATAAATATTCTCATTTATTTTGGTCATTTCAATGCTACGTAGGTGGAGGATGGACGCTAGTTGTTTCTATWAGCAAGACTAATCACGATCATCTGCAGACGAAGGAACATAACTGCTTCAACTCTTCTTTCTGTGTTCCTGACACAGCTARCGTAACAGCAACAAGAAAACTGTCAGACAGAGACATACATCAGATCCTTGGGACATATGAAGGCAAGTCTTGTACCCTGCTTCCAGAGGCTTATCTTTTATTCTTCTGCTTACTATGTTGTTGCTGCTTCTGATCACTGAGGTYTATAGGGTATTGGATTTAGTGATAATAAATAAATGATACTAATGTGCATTACCATATTTGGTTAATTACAGGTACTTTTCGGCTTCAAAGTTTTTCGACATCCATCGGTTTTGTCTTTTTCCAGGTAAGTTGTACCATGTATAATTAAAAAAAAACAAGGACAAGAATATTGACCATTTGAMCTACATCGTCACAACAGCAAAAAGCTGTTTTAAAAAGTTTAAACTCATCTAAAATTGGTCACATTTAARTGAGTTACTGGTCACATTACCCCCTCCCCCATCCTCATTTTAAACAAATAAGCAGGATTTCAAAAATCACATTRCATAGTAGTGGTATTGAAATGAAGGTCCATGAGAATCAAGGTTAACTGATTTTCAAAATTGCTCATAAAAACCTGATATATACAATCTTTTTTTCAGATTCCAAGTGGAGCTGACAAGTTCAACTCATCGTGTCATGGCTAGTAAGTACAAATCTTGTTTGGGGAAACACTGTTTCCTACGTAATAACAAAATGAAAAATGCAAAAGCATTGTTCAAAACTTGGAACACTTTAAGAAATCAGAGACTTCACAACAGTATCAGATCTAGGCTCTAATGCTTCAAGTGAAGTAGTATGTTGCTCAGCTCTATCCAATGATCTTTACTTAGGCCAGCTTGTCCCTCAACGTTGCCTCTATGGTCTGATAATCTAGCCCGATGCCACGTTCTCTAGTTGAGACTGCTTTCTGTTAGGTGACTAATCGAAGTTGCCAAAGAGCACACAGACCTGTAGTCTTCAGTAATCTAGACTGAGGGGTTGTAATATATGAATGAATTTCTTCCTAAAAACCTCCTAAGAGTTTGCAATATCGTAGAAATTGGCATTTTTCCGATAATAAACCATAGAATAAAACGTTAATTGTTTCCTTTAAAATGTTTAAGACCAAAGTGAGAGACGATGTATTAACCTGTTTGTTCATAACTTTCAACTATCTTTTGTTTGCCAGAGAGAGTGGGCATAAAAATATAGTGGACAGTGAATGCAAACAACAAGGAGGGAAGGGGTAATATCTTCATAGATTCACAAAAAAAAAGCCATACCCTGGTCAGTGGCACGTCCCCGTATATATGGGAGTACCTCCCTCCCAGATTCACTGTTTAAAATATGTCCTCAAAGCCACTCAAAGTGTTGCTGTAAATCGCATTTCCGAGCATTGGCTGCCCCCTCTTTCTTGATCAAGAATTCAGTGTTCGTTAGTCTGACACAACCCCCCTGACTTTTAATACAATCAGAAAACTGACCTGGAATTGTTTATCTTTAGTGATTGTCCTCGAATAATTGCATCCCATGACTACCCCTACCAATGGCTGTCAAACTGCAAAGGCATCGAAACAGGATACGCTGTCGCCTTGGACCACTATGGTAATGGAATAAGTTCTTTTAAAGTTTAAAAGAGAGTTCAATTAGCATATACGGGTGAAAATAAACATAGCTTTCAACCTAAGTTATTTGATATAAATCTATTTTTTTAGCGTTTGATACCTATGACAATTCAGAATGTGGAACAAGATGGACAATGCCCAAGAGCGATCCATGGGGTAAATATAATATTATGTTCTAATTACCTCCTGTCTGTTACAATTATTTTTTTCTCATTTAACTCTCTTTATGCCGTGCCGTTTAGGTCCGTATCGAGGCCTGTATGGAACGAAAAAATTCAAAAATGATGGAGGCGTCTATCAAAACTTAAATGCAAAGCTGTTTGTACGATAACCTTCTACAGAATGTGCTGGCCTCAGTTAGTCATGCTGTACTTCTGGATAATACAATCAAATGAATTTTCTTGAGGCTGCAGATAGTTAAATGATTGTTTATATTAAGTTTATGAACTTACTTAAATAATAAATTAAATTTAGAAATTATTACAGGCAACAGCATGTAGTGCGAAAAATGTAGTGCACGAGCAATATTTCAAAACTGTTTCATAAAAAAATGAACGAGCGCACCGACGCCTTGAACTGGAACTACAATGTTACTCAGACTTAAAATTAAAATTTAAACTTTTAGTACTAAAAGTAATTAAAACTACTTTTGTTTTGATATCAAATGGTTAAAATCGAAAATAACGTAAAAATTGTAATTGATATATATTTTAGATTGACTGACCATTTTTTTCATAATGCCTGTTTAAAATAAAGCACATAAAACCGAGAAATCAGGGTGCCAATTTGTTTGTTTCCTATTTTCCTATGTTTTTTTCCTTAATGCGGACGTTTTCCGGCATGGTCGGGCCACAAAATCAACAATGAGATTGTAAACACTTTTGCTCTCTAAACTCTTACCAAAAACAGACGAAACTTACGGACTGTAGGGACTGCACAATACTTATCAGGAGTCGGGGGGTGAGGGGTGGAGGTGCAGGTGGTTCAGAATTATTTCCTTTGCGAGTGTGTGTGTGTGTGTGTGAGTAGAAGGGGGGGGGGATTAACCTCCTGGTAAATATTGCGCAGTCCCTTAAGTGCTTTGAAATGACTCAGGAGATGTCAGGTTGCGTGTAAACCTTGATGCACAAGGCCATAATTGTTTCTTTTCTAGCTATAGCTGAAAGCAACCGTTTGGATTTTTGACAAATAAGATTGCCTTACACAAAAAGAAGAACGTAGTAGTTTTTCAGAATGATAGTATCTGGACGTTGAAAGTTATCCTTTAGCAGCATAGTTGAGTGATGTGATGAAAATACAAAGTGTAGCAGGAGCCGCTAAGTGTGTAGATCGAGTTTCCTTTTGTTCGCCCGTAGCCCTTTGTTCGCCCTTTGACTATCCATCTATACGCTTGATCGCTTCGCCTTATATTTTACGTGTTTATTCTATCTCGCCCTATTCCCTGATGATGCTGTAGACAGCGAAAGCTCGGAATCATATATTTTTGTTGTAAACTCGATCTACACACTTAGCGGCTCCGGCTACACTTTGTATTTTCATCACATCACGATAGTATCTGGTAATTCATAATCATGCATTTTATTCAATATCTTGTGAAGTCTTATCAAGTCGCAAAGGAAATTCTTGTGACATAAAACGTCCTAAGGAATGTAGAATCTCATCAATGCCTGGTCATCAATGCCTGGTCATCAATGCCTGGTCAGCTTTTTAGATTAGGGAGTAATGAAGATATATCAACATTAAAAGTTTTTGATAATTGTTAGTTTGTCGGACACAAATAGTAGTGTGATTTCAAGTTATGTTCTCTTACGCCCGGCTAAACTTCTCATAATGAGGCTTGTTGGTTTTCTTCAAAGGTTCGTAGGCATTGTCTACTTCAGTTTGGGAGCAGAGAGGTCTACTTGGAACCGCTGATCGCACGCCTTGAAGACTCTGATAATCACGTGCAGTTTGCTGGAGAATATTGAGTTCCTGGTAGGTACCAGTTAGTGAACTGCTTGCATTAGCATCGTCCACTGCATGGATTTCTGGAATCTCATAAGGGTAGTGTATTTTAGGAGCAGCTCCTATCAAAGTAGGCTGTTCGTAAGCCGTTTCATTCCTTTCTTCTGTACTGCTGCTAGATACACTATGTGCCAATATTGGAGGAGAACTTGTATCTGGAATTACTGACATGTTCAGTACACCCTACAAAAAGCATGAGAAAATATCAAAGTGTTTATGCAACGCTATAGTTCAAACAAAACGGTTTAGGAGCATGAATTACAGCTTAACCATCAATAAGAATCCGGAATTGACATGAATCCGTCATGTGTTTGAACATATACCTTATCGGAGCCTTCTCTCTTTCTGCTTTTATAACCATTTTCTAAGAGAGCAAAGAGAGAAAACAAGAAATAATTAAAGCAGTTTAACTCTAGTCTAACAGATCAAGAAAGAAATGCTTTCTACCTACTTCTCTGATGGTAGCACTTGGTAATGAGGAATATGCAAATTGCATTGCCAATAATTGATATAATGATAATGACAATGCAGACGACGAATACTGGAGATGAAACTGACAAGTGAAAAAAAAAGAAAGAAAAAAGTTAACATGGATTTTTTTGTAATGGACCTTATTTTACATTTAATGTAAGTTCGAATGATATGCTTAGACAAATACTGTGTGATGCGTTATTTGATTAAAGACACTTTTAATGTTAAACAATCATCATAAATTATTATGCATTCTACAACTTCCTTATACAAACCAAAGTCGATTGCTCCTCTGTCTGAAATTTTGCCACATTGTTCAGCATTGGGTTCTAGGAAGACAGTGGCGGTATAAAGAAAATTGCAATTAAAAATATATATACTGTCTAAAAACTTTAATTTCTATTTTTTATTTCGAAATTGTTTGGATTTGTTTAACAACATGCACGCAAAATGTTTTGATATATCGGGCACTAATGCTTGGTTCTGTATAGAACTAAATTTACAGCTAACCTTACTCCATAAAGCATCACGTCAAATATATAATTCCTGGCTTTTTGGGCGTAGAAATAACGTGAAAGTCTCAACAGCTGTACGTCTACGGCAATTTTTCTACGGCAAAATAATAAGTCAATGCTTACCACTATGAACTATTACAGTCAAATTGTGGTCCTTATATCCTAAAGTATTCTCAGCACGGCACATGTATATTGCAGAAGCATGTATGTTTTCTATTTTGATTGACACTTCACTAAAACCAGGAAAGGACGTCACGTTTTGCACGATTGGTTGTTTATTGAAGCTGTACCACGTGATATTTGGAGGAGGGAATCCGCTGGCTGCACAACGTAGTCGAGTGTACYCGTGGCGCAGTGATTTTATTATATTATCTGAACGTGAATGATCTATCTCTGGTGGATCTGAAAAGGAAATTAAATTAAATTACTCCGTTAAAATATTTTAGATKTTAGAGTATAAACACTAAAACTGTGCAATATAAATACCACTAAATAAGCTGCTAAAATTGTGCTAATTCTATTGTTTTCTATTGTTTAATTAACACTATTTTGTAGTATATAGTGTAAAGTGTTGCATGTTGCAAATGTTTGTACTCTATCATTTTTTAAAGGAAACTAAAAACGGATTTTTGTGAAAAACCTAGGATGTAGGAAGAACACGCCCGAAGCGTTTGTATACCAATTATTTTAGCACTGGAGACATTTATTTCTAAATCAAGTTGAAATAAAAGCTTACACATGACATTTATCGTCGTCTGGATGCTAACAGGGTTTTGGTTTGGATTGTTTACCGCCTGGCATTCGTACGTCCCATTTTGATCTCTTTTGATGTTGATTATTGTTAGTGTTGCATTGCCTGCTCCTTCAGCAATCGCAACCCTTTCAACACCTTGTAAGTGAAACCATGTAACATTGGGCGTCGGGGGACCAACTGCTGTACAAGGCAACTTGATATCTTTATTCTCGGCAACATTTAATATAGGCGATGATGGAGAAGTGAAGTGTGGTTGAGCTTATAAATGATAAAACAAAACTTGGTCAGTAAAGGACTCAGAATCCAAGAAATCGCTGATGTAGACATTTTTTTTACACATGGATATTTGATTCTTTGATTCATTGTGATTAGATTATAGAAATGTATTGTAAAATGAGCTCTTTTTGGTTGTGATTGACTTGAGCTACACGCCTGTAGCTGTACAAGAGGTACTACTTACAACACCAGGTTAGGCACAAACCCCGGGGGGACTCCCCAGTAAAAATTCCGGTGGTCCTGGTCAGAAATTCTGAAAATGACCCCCCTTAAAGGGACTTGTATTGTGAGATGATGCGCGTGACAGTGATGAAATTTCACCCCTAAGAAGGACCAATCAATAACAGGTCATTTTGTTTTGGTTTCCCGACTTTATTTGTGTTTTTGCACAAATCAACGCTGTCGGATCGTTTTGAAATCAATCATCTAATTAGCAGTTATGGTTGTTCAGCCATAAGTCGTAATACTAAGAAATATGTTCTTAAATGAATGAATAACACTTACTGTCATGCATGAATTGATACGTAAGAACTAGTCCTAGTATTTGTCTTATTTTACTGATACTGATATTCATATCATATAACAGTATTTTCTTCTTCATTAAAACTACAAACATGATGCTTGCTCAATAATTTACGACGTTTGTCCAGATCTATACCGTTCATGCCAGGAAATGACAAGGAACGCAAAGCGTACAAAGTGTGATAAACAAGCTGACCGAAATGAACAATTACCAGGAAGTGTTAGGCCAAATTTCATATTGTTGTAGTTGTACTAGTTAGATAACTAGTTGATACGAAATGTGATAATTTTAAATGTAATATTTAGCAATATTACAGTATAATTAGCTAGAGTGCAATTGATCAATGATACGAAACATATATCTGAAAGAAAGATAAAAAAGGAAAAAAAAAAAAACACCCTTCCACCCCCACCCCTTCTGATAATTAAGTGCGTAGCCTCTTAACAACATTGTTATTACCTGTGACTATCAGTGTTGCCGTACTGGTTATTGGAGCTCGATGTCTTAACGTTAGATTGCATCTATAGATTCCACTATCTTCTATGGTTACATTATATATAACAAGGCTGGCAGACGAAGCCTTGCTTACTCTAGTAGGATTCCGCAGTCTTTCTGGACAAGATGAACTAAGTTTCCATTGCCAATCTAATGTGCTATAGTCAGCACCGATTGCTTTCCAGCCATTGGCACTAYTATAAACCTCCCAACGAGGCGATAGAGGATCAAAATCCGTTGTTTTATTTCCAGAAATATAATCCCATTCAAAAATAGCAGCTTCACCTAATTGGGCGTACAATATTCTTGGTGGTTCTTTGGTAAAGTGTGGCGCTACATCTGAAAAAGCAACATATCGTAATTAAACATAATTTTAAACTCCCCCCAACTGAATGGAAATGCCTGTTTTCATATTCTACTCTTCAGATTTTCTAGGTGATCTAAAGCCTTATGTAGTTGCTTATATAATGTGTGTATATGATGTTAACAAGCCAAGAGGGTCATTCACCGGGCAATTCTCGTTTCTATCCTTATTATGTCACAGTTTGATTCTCACGGAAACGCCTCCCGATGCATATTTTAGGCAAGAGTAGTAAGATGCCTTGAAATGGGCCCCATAGGGGAGAAGATCATCGACAACCTGCCTTAGACGTTTAAAACAAAGAAAAGAGGGAGAACTGAAAGTCTTGTGAAGCTAGGACTTCAACGATCGCAGATAGCGGTGTAAATCCCTTAACGGAGGTCTTATCCAGCATTAGTTTTGTCGCGTATCTGTTTATTAGCAAAATCTTAGTCAGTTGAAATCAATTAAGGAAGTTGACGTAAAGAAAGTTGTAATATCATAATAACACACAGAACTCGCAAAGATAAAAAATGGAATCTTCACAAAATTACTTCATAAAAACATAGCTTCCGCTAGTTTGAGTTCCGTCAAATTACAATTTTTCTTAAATCAGGAATCTTGACGCTCATATTCCTGATATCTTGGGTATTTTGCCAGAAAGAATTTAAAAGCTTCTGCTTATAAGTCAACAATTCCTTCTAGACAGTGATTTTCCGTTACTCCAAGACGAAATGTATTATGCTCTTCTTTGTTGTTCATTAACTTTAAGTTTAAGCGGAAGCACGCGCAAGCAGAGCACGATAGCTAAGAAAAGATGGTACACCATCGAGTCCATTTTTCATGGACCGACAGAGGGTTACCGCGCGTACCCACGTTTCCTGCTTCCGTCCATCAATGTAACACCACAAGAAAATATATATTGAAATGTTAAAACTTCGCCTTCAATTATTTACTCCCGCAATTGATAATGTTAGAAAAATCAAACACAAGAAAAATATCCACAGGAGATTAAAATCAAAGAACAGAGATTGCCGCCAATTTTTACATATCAATTTGCGCAAGATGAAAACAATTTATTTGCAAACCTTTTGAGGCTCACTTTTGGGAATAAAAAAAAAAAGATCACTTTTCGCTTTGATATTTCGACAACAAGAAAAAGAAATGCTGTATTGGAAATATTTCCAAAATATGTGCAAAAGCAACTTTTTTGTCGAGAAGTATTGACCAAGAAATGCCAACAACACTGGGTAGAGAGAGAGATTTAAAACAAACAAGTCGACAAAATCACAACATTAAATGACTCTATAAATTGATAACACTTATGTTTGAAATAATTATGGTGCTGTAAAAGATTTTCTTTGAAAGACAAGGCGAGTTTTTGGATGCTTCACCGTTGGTTTCAGTTTTGCCAACGATGAAAAAACGATTATCGATAATATTATTTTCTCGGTATTTAAGGGAATAAAATTTCGCAGACGTTCAAGAATCAAATGAAAAATATACGCACGATATTTTTGCATAGTTTAGACGTCGAGTCTTTTTGCTGCGTCTAATCTAATTGCACCCAGAGTACAAAATTCTCATAAACTTCGTGTTTTTTTGTACAACCTTTTTCGAGCTAAACAGAAAAAATAAGTTTAATAATAGTTTTTCGCATATCAATAAAATATACTGTGTTAACATTCCTTGAAAACAGCGTACCTCTATTGAAGATAGGAATGTAAAGACCGCATGGCACTATGATATGAAAGGAGGTTATTCCGGAAGAAAGACCCTTGGAAATAAATCCGGAAAAATTAATTTTCGACCTCGCTGGGATTCGAATACAAGACCCTCGGATTTGTACTACCGATGCTCTACCAGGTGAGCTACAAGGTCAGACTGGGAGCAGGTCGGGGTGAAATAGATGTTAGCTTGCAGTAATTAGAATGTAAAGATATGAATGTAAGGACCACATGACACTATGAGATACATGATATAGAATAAAGGAAAGTTATAGTGCTAGGAAGAAGGTAGGCTCAGTCTCCAGCCGTCGGGATTTCGTGCGCCCGCGATACTCTCTCCCCTGACGGCTGKKMGCWTGRRGTTCGCTATTGTCAGTCTTGACCAATCAGCGAGTGGCCCCCGATATTTTGAGGGGCATATCATTAATAAATTAGCAGGCAGCAGTGTAACAAAATGGCGTACAATTCGCCGTTTGAGATTCTTTTTGAAAGTGCTTGTTTGAAGGCTCTGAAGTCGTTTAGCTTGGACGAATTTAGATAAATACAGCAAAAGGCTCTTAAAGAGATTGTTCTTGGAAAAGATGTCCTTGTTATTCTTCCTATACTGGCTCGGGCAAATCTCTTATTTTTCAAACAGCGCCACTAGTGTATTTTGCTCGTTTTTCTGGCAGATAATACATCCATTTGGATTATTAAACCCTGCACATGTTTTACTTGGGGTAATTTCCATTCCTTTCTCTTTTTTAAAGCGCTAACTATTACATTATATCGCTACTTCGCGAAGTTTTCATTTCACATAATTTCCCGCCTTGTAGCAAAACCTTTACAGCTGTTGTCAGATATTTCACTTCCGTTCACTGAAAAATTCACTTCCGTTACGTCATAATATGCTAATTACACAAAAACGTCACGGACATGCGCGACACGTTTCGAACCCCATGCGCCCAGCCGTCAGGGGAGAGAGTATCGGGGGCGCACGAAATCCCGACGGCTGGAGACTGAGCCTAGGAAGAAGGTTATTCTGGAAGAAAGAACCTAACATTCATATCTTTACATTCTAATCACCGCAACCTAACATTTATTTCACCCCGACCTGCTCCCAGTCTGACATTGTAGCTCAGCTGGTAGAGCATCGGTATACAAATCTGAAGGTCGTGGGCTCGAATCCCAGTGAGGTCGGAAATTCATTTTCCAGTGTATTTCCAAGGGTCTTTCTCCCGGAATAACCTCCTTTCTATCACTTTAAAGGCCCAGTTTGAACCATTATGCTTTGCGTGCCTCTGATATTGTTATATACCCGATAAAACACGCTCTCGAGTTCTTTAAACGACTTCTAGAACTCCAACATTCAGAAATTGCTATCATTTTAGAAAAAAAGCTTAGAAGTGCGAAAACAAAGATATGTATATTAAACTTCTAATGAGCATGTGCATTGTGCCACAATTGAAGAAATTTGATCCCACACGAAAAAATGGCTAGTCTATGCTATACATAGTGCATGTCTGCAGATTAATTGAAACTGATTTAAAACCTAGCAAAGGTCTATGATGCGACATTAAAACTAAGACCTTTGCTAGTGTTGACTTGCGATAAAGCGCTGATGCCCTTGAATATCAGTTTTTTATATCTGATATAGAATTGATTAATAAAACATTAGTACTTTATCGGGATATAAAGGTCCATCATGTGACCCAATAGTTTGATGCTCATTGGACTAATTAATGGCTTCTAGAAGATTTACACCAAAATACTTCTAGTATCCAAATATCACCATAAAACAAATGTCAGATGGTTAAAAACTCTAATATAGAAAAGTGAGATGGTCAAAGATTCGAAACGCACAGTATAATTTATAGACTTTCTGTACTGAAAATGGCCGCCGCAAGGGCTTGGAGGCCACCAAAGCATAATGGTGCACATTGGGCCTTTAACTTTCCTTTATTTATATATCATGTACCTCTATTGATCCCAGCTTCGAAACCGTAGTACCAGATGTGTTACCTAATTTCTATATTACCATTTGTGGTTACAGGTGCAGATCCAGCTGGTGGGTGCAGGGGGTGCACACCCTGTCCTGAGATCTGTATCCTTCAATACTCTTAATTTGTATCTTTATGGTAATGATTATTGTGGGGTGCACCCCCTCCTGAGAGCCCTGCACCCCTCCCTGAGGAAAATCCTGGATCCGTCCCTGATATAAGCCGTCCTGAAAAACGTTTTGGTGTCTTTTGTGCTCGTTAAAGGGTGCGAAGTATAGTTAAGTCGTTACCTACTGTAAACATCATTATTGTATCTTCTTATTTTATGGTGGAATGCATTACCTATGACTTTCAAGTGCACACTAGAAAACAATTCAGAAGATCCTTTCTCCCGTATTTGTGCGCCATAGTGGTTGGTGTCACCAAGGGTTAGATTTGTTAATTTAAACCAGGCACGACCTGCCGTTAAATTGCCAACGAAGCTAATTCTTCCTTTGTAGGGCCCGCTAGCTAGTGCAGGGTTGATAACTGTGTCCTCCATGAACACCAGTATCATATTCCGCCTGCTAATATCTAATATTCCCCATCTCACTGCAACGATAATATTTGTGGAGTTCCACTGAAAAACTGCATCTTTTCCAACTGCTCGCACCAATGGCTGAGGTACTTGTAATAGCGAATTGGCTAAGAGAAAATCAAAATACTTTACTCCCTAGTTTAACTAAGTCTTTAAAAATTAATCTGCCTTTTCGTAGTATCTATTGTTTGAAATTAATCATTCTTCAGATTCTTTGAGAATAGGAAATCAACTGGAATTATTTGACATCGATTTCACACTTGTTATTTCGGGATAATGCCTTAACCCAAACTATAATGGCGGTCAAAACCGTCAGGTCAACTATTTTCTAATAGTTCACTTTTTGCGCATCGTCTCCCTCGATATTAACCCTATAAACTCACTATAATCTAAAACGATTTCTCAAAATTGAATAAATTGTATATGAAGTTGCCGAAGTAATGTGCATAGATTTTCTGGAGATGATGAAGTCACGCTAAATCTCTGAGTAGTGTCTGACACGTAAAACACATACATATTGCAATAATTTCTATTCTATTCATATATATTCTTACCAACAGACGAGAGGACTGCTAAAATAGCGAAAACATGCATCATTGAAAATTATAGTTAAAATTTTGTTTTATCCAATTAAGCAGATAAAACAAAAGATTGAAACTTTGAGTCAGATCAAAACTATCGCCATGCAAGCTTTTGTTTCCGCATGACATGATCCATCTGAAATAAGCTACGTATTATAAAGAGAGGTCAGGCCAGCATGCTGAATGTTATTTTATTAGTTAGTATTTTGCATAAAATCTGATTCACCATGGCGACCAAATGACAATTACTGAATCTAATTAACAACAAATTCTCTGAATATTTTCTTATCGAGGATGTGATAATGTTTTGTGTTTCATTAACATGAGCCAGGAAGGACCCTCGTCTAGTAATTGTTCATGCGCCATGACTAAAGTCCCATTTTCTAAAAATCAGAAGCATGCGAAAAGTGATCTTGCAAACTGAAAAGCTCGGCAAGACATACAAGATCTCGAACTTGTGCTCGTTCAGAAAAGAGTTTGCACAAGACAAAAGACATTGTTAATAAGGAAATCGAAATCAACTAATCGGATTCTGCTGATGTGCCAAACCTTGTAGTGCTCTCTCAAATAGCTTCCATGGAACTGAAAGGTCACAGTTGTATGCAAATAAACATACAGTTGCATATATTATCACATTGCTCTGTGTGCAATAGAGTTTGATAAAGTTTAACCTTATAAATGTTATTATCAATATGTAATNTTGCTTACTCTAGTAGGATTCCGCAGTCTTTCTGGACAAGATGAACTAAGTTTCCATTGCCAATCTAATGTGCTATAGTCAGCACCGATTGCTTTCCAGCCATTGGCACTATTATAAACCTCCCAACGAGGCGATAGAGGATCAAAATCCGTTGTTTTATTTCCAGAAATATAATCCCATTCAAAAATACTAGCTTCACCTAATTGGGCGTACAATATTCTTGGTGGTTCTTTGGTAAAGTGTGGTGCTACGTCTGAAAAAGCAACAAATATATGGTAAACATTATTTCAAACAATTGAATGGAAATGACAGTTTTCAAGTTCTACTCTGCAAACGTTGTCCGGGATCTAAAGCCTTATGTAGTTGCTTATATAATGTGTGTATATGATGTTAACAAGCCAAGAGGGTCATTCACCGGGCATTCATCGTTCCTTATTATGTTATAGGTTGATTCTCATTTTAGGCCAGAGTAGTAAGATGCCTTGAAATGGGCCCCAGAGGGGAGAAGACCATTGACAGCCTGCCGTAGGCGATTAAAACAGAAAGAAAGGAGGAAGGACCTGGAAGTCTTGAGAAGGTACAACTTCAAAGACCGCAGAGAGCTGTGTAAATCCCTAACGGAGGTCTTATTCAGCATTAGTTTTGTCGCGTGTCTGTTTATTAGCAAAATCTTAGTCAGTTGAAATCAAGGAAGTTGACTTACAGAAAATATATTGTAATATCATAATAACACACAGAACAGAATGGAATGTTCACAATATTACTTCATAAAAATATAGGTTCCGCTAGTTTGAGTTTTGTCAAATTACAAATCGAGCTCCTTGAATAATCTTGACGCTGATATTCCTGATATCTTGGTTATTTTTCCAGCAAGAATTTAAACGTTTCTGCCAACTATTCACATGCATTCTAGAAAGTGATTATCCTTTATTATCCAAGACGAAATTTATTACGATCTTCTTGGCTGTACGCTGCTTAAGTTTAAGTTTAAGCGGAGGAAACGCGCAAGCAGAGGATCATAGCTAAAAGATGGATGGTAACTAACCAGTCCATGTTTCATGGACCACCAGATTTCGACCGCACATGTCCTTCCGTCCGTCCGTGTACCACCGCAGGAAAATATTTATTGAATTATTAAAATTTTGGCTTCAATTATTTACCTTCGAGATTGAAATCAAAGGAAAAGTATTCTCTCCAATTGTTACATATAGATCGATTTACGTAAGATGCATGAAAAGCAATGTTTTTTCAAAAGTTTTGAGGCTCGCTTTTGGAAATAAGAAAAAAAAATTTTTTCCTGATCATGCGCAAATCGATATGTAAAAATTGGCGGGAAAACAGTATGACTTTTCGCTTTGATATTTCGACAACAAGAAAAAGACGATGCTGTATTGGAAATACTGCGAAATTATTTGGAAATCCAACTTTATTTGTCGGGAATTGTGGAACAAGAAATGCTATATAATCACTGGAGTCAGACAAAAACACAGTATTAAATGACTATAAATTGATAAAACCTATGTTTGAAATTCTGATTATGGTGCTGTACAAGATCATCTTTGAACGACAAGGCGAGTCTTTGCCACTGGATGCTTCACCGTTGGTTTCAGTTTTGCCGACAATAAAAAATGACTATCTATAGCATTTTCCCGATATTTAAGAGAATAAGATTAGCCACTATTGAGTTCAGCCTCGAAATATTAGTACAAGATCATCAATGTTTTAGTGTTACCTCATTTCTATATTACCATTTGTGGCTGATTTGCATATTTTTCGTTTGGGTTTGCATTTACATAAGAGCGATCGTACTTTCAGAACCTGTCCTGAAAAACGTTTTGGTGAGTCTCACGCTTGTGATCGTTAAAGGGTGAAAAGTATATTTAAGTTGTTGCTTACTGTAACCATCAATATAGTATCTTATTATTTTCTGATGGTGGAATGCATTACCTATGACTTTCAAGTGCACACTATAAAACAATACAGGATATCCTTTCTCCCGTATTTGTGCGCCATAGTGGTTGCTGTCACCAAGAGTTAGATTTGTTAGTTTAAACCAGGCATGACCTGCCGTTAAATTGCCAACGAAGCTAACTCTTCCTTTGTAGGGCCCGCTAGCTAGCGCAGGATTGATAACTGTATCCTCCATGAACACCAGTATCACAATCCCCCTGCTAATATCTGCTATTCCCCATCTGACTGCAACGATAACATTTGTGGAGTTCCACTGAAAAACTGCGTCTTTTCCAACTGCTCGCACCAATGGATGAGGTACTTGTAATAGAGAATTGGCTAAGTGAAAATCAAAATACTATTTCAGGGTTACACTAACACTTTAATCATTCAAGGCTTGTCGACTGTCTTCTATTTAATCAGCTCATGCTAGATAATTTCACATATTTGATGTTCCGACAAATCTACATTACAAGACCTACAAATCTTTTTCGAGTAACTGGAATTACATTAAATTTAAATTTTGATTATTTTAAATTAATTTTCAGTTCTCCTTACATATCTTTGAATTTTTCACGCGCGTCACGCTCTGATGACCCCGAAAATTACAAAGAATTGCAATGGAGAACAAAAAAATGGTTTACTCGCTCCCTAGTTTAACTAAGTCTTTAAAAATAAACTGGCTTTTCGTAGTATCTATCGTTTGAAATTAATGATTCTTTCAGAATAGGAATTCAACTGGAATTATTTGACATCGATTTCATCGATAATGCCTTAATCCAAACAAAAATGGCGGTCAAAACCGTCACGTCAACTATTTTCTAATAGTTCCCTTTTTGCGCACCGTCTCCCTCGATATTAACCCAATAAACTCACTATAATCTAAAAAGATTTCTCAGAATTGAATAAATTGTATATGAAGCTGTCGAAGTAGTGTGCATAGATTTTCTGGAGATGATGAAGTCACCTAAATCTCTGAGAAGTGTCTGACACGTAAAACATATACATATTACGATAATTTCTATTCTATTCATATATTCTTACCAACAGACGAGAGGACTGCTAAAATTGCGAAAACATGCATCATTGAAAATTAGAGTTAAAATTTTGTTTTATCCAATTAAGCAGATAAAACAAAAGAAACTTTGAGTCAGATTAAAACTATTGCCATGCAATATTTTGTTTCCGCATGGCATAATCCATCTGACCAGTAGCGACGGATTATGAAGAGAGGTCAACAGCATGCTGAATGTTATTTTATTAGTTAGTATTTTGCATAAAATCTGGTTCACCATGGCGACCAAATGACATTTACTGAATCTAATTAACAACAAATTCTCTGAATATTTTCTTATCGAGGATGTGATAATGTTTTGTGTTTCATTAACATGAGCCAGGAAGGACCCTCGTCTAGTAATTGTTCATGCGCCATGACTAAAGTCCCATTTTCTAAAAATCAGAAGCATGCGAAAAGTGATCTTGCAAACTGAAAAGCTCGGCAAGACATACAAGATCTCGAACTTGTGCTCGTTCAGAAAAGAGTTTGCACAAGACAAAAGACATTGTTAATAAGGAAATCGAAATCAACTAATCGGATTCTGCTGATGTGCCAAACCTTGTAGTGCTCTCTCAAATAGCTTCCATGGAACTGAAAGGTCACAGTTGTATGCAAATAAACATACAGTTGCATATATTATCACATTGCTCTGTGTGCAATAGAGTTTGATAAAGTTTAACCTTATAAATGTTATTATCAATATGTAATGTTTTTGGAGGTACATTACCTATAACCACTAACTTGAAATAAACATTGGAAAATATGACTTCAGATATCCCTTTCTCATGTATTTCTGCACCATAGTAGTTGGTATCGCCAAGCGTCAGATTTGATATCTTAAACCAAGCAAGGCCTGCAGTCAAATTACCTATAAAACTTAATCGTCCTTTATAATAGACGGCGTCTGAAATGTGGGTTACAAAAATCGAAGTATAAATGAGCTGCTTCATGATTCGGAGCGCGCCAGGTTCTTTCAGTCCCCATGTTACAGCATTAATACCAACTGTTGAATTCCAAYGAAGTACTACATCTTTACCAACAGCACATTCGATAGTCCTAGGTGCTTGGATAGTGGATTGAACTACGGTGAAAATCATATACCTGTTTTAGGCGAGCAGTTTAAGTCATTTTATGAGTTTATAAAAAACCGAGGCAATTGAAGTCTGATCTTTAATATGACATTGACATTGACAGTTGCAAAAATAATGAAGCTACTTTGAGTTACTGTGATAAATAGATATCTACGATTCATTCAGTGCTATAATTCTCTCTTATTGACAGACTATTTATAGGGCTTCATTATTTATGCTTGAATGTAAACACAATAATAAATGATTGCATCCTACCAACAAATACCAAAATAGCGATACCATGGAAAACCATGTAGAAACGCCAGCAAAGGTTGATMGCTGACATAATTATCTTTGTTTGTACTGTTGTTGCCTAACCAAAAATACTCCAATAAATGAATGTAAAATCTTGGCTTTCCGTATTTCCAGACTGGTGATTAGTCGTCTTGCCGGATGGTGGCCTGGGTACGTCAAAATTTTCCTTTTGTATCTCATATAGTCCGGAGGATAAGTAGTGTAAAATGTTCAAATTAGTGATACAAGTACCAAACTAAAATGGCTAAATAACAATAGGTATGCAAGATCCATTTTAGATCCTAATCTTTTACATGGTTGTCGACCCTAATACATGTTGTATGGAGACCACAGGGATCCCAATTTGCGAAAAATTACAAAAATTGATATTTAACATGCGATGTTCTTTAGTCRCTTTTTAATCATTTATGATATTCCTATCATGACATATTTTAAGAGAATGACCCTGTCCAAATGGCATTTTAGCCCAACGTATTATTTAACCTGCGAAAAAATGGACGTTTTTAACTCTTGATAACTGAATTGCCACCAGGACAGTGCAGGGAAGGATTGCTTTAGTACACTTGCACAATCCACGACATGCACGTTTGCAGCCATATCTTATAAATTCATTGCAGGCTATGGATGCATCAGGCAGGGTTGTCCACTTTGGAGTCCATCCAGCTTCTGGTGAATATTGGYATCCCCATTCCTCTGGACATGGAAGGTCAGTGTGCGACCCCAGATATGGCCAGCTTGATATACTGATATATCATTGCGTGTTGTTGTAGCGCTCCTTAGGTGGGTGGAATGTTTCCTATATTTCTAGTGCCTTGCTCAAACACTGTTTTCCGTGCAATGTTTACATTTGTTCTGCTGTACATCAGAATCAAAAACCACTGCAGCTTGGGTGATGATGACAGACTCTGAAAGACTTCAGTAGCTTCAGGATAGGACCTCTCCTGGTTTGAAATGCTGCCTTTTATCCTCTCCTTAAAAGTATGACACCGTGTAACAACCACTGAAGGCTTGAAAGAGGGGAAGGGCATTCCATTGTTGAGTAGTCAGTGAGCTAGCGATAGTATTGGATTGGATAGAAATGAAAGTGTTTACCTACACCAAAACCAATCCAAAGCTCCATTACTTCCAACTTGCGAATATAAATTAAGCAATTGTGTCAAATAGTTCAAAAAGAATCTTCTTAATTCCCATTAAAGATTCATGCTTGACATGGACAAAAATACGAGAATCTGCTTCCTCACGTGGACGGTTGCATGGCATCAAGCCCTCCTTATCTCGTTACATTAGAGCTATGCATATCCATATCAGCTGTGCTGATGATTATGGTTTCTAGTAGGTTGATGGTCGTCACATACTTTCCAAGATAATCATGCAACTCTTTTTTGTTTTCATCGACTCTCAAAAACTCCTTCCATTTTAAGGGTAAGGGTGCAATATCACACACACGTCTATGATCTTCACTCCGACGAAGGATTAACATCCGAAACGTCAGTAAGTTATTCCACGTACTTTTTATCTTTTTACATAACTGTTTCTTTAGAAACACCGACGATGCTCACACTAGTTTACCGCTAGTTCCCACCATTCTATGATGTTCTGTTCCTCTGGATTCTCGTGTTGCTTGCTGTAGACTATTTGGTGGGTAATGATCCCACACGAGATCAATTCGCTTTGCGTTTTGAGCCTGGTGGACTATATGAGGAAGAAATACATTTTCTGCATATTCCTTATAGTTCTTACATTTTCCAGGATGTAATGTAGATGCTTGCTTTCATTTTCAAATATGGCGGCATTGTTAGGCCACTAATCGAAGTCCACAATTCCGAATAAGAAAAACTTTACGATCCATATTAAGTGCCGAAAACAATGCACTTTGGTTAGGCAACGGTGTCTTAGCATTTTCAAACCATTTTAAAGTCGAAAGTAGGAGTACTAGAAAAATAAAGCGAGAGCTCAATAAGAACGTCCCTTCGTCATGGTCATTGGACACTCTCTCACTAGAAACAAACGAATTAGGATAGGGATTCCGTTAATATAAATCAATTTAATTGTCTTCTTGCTTCATTAAAACTGGTAAGTGAGTAACGTCTTGTTCAATTTCTAGTTCAAAATTAGTGTAGCTTTCTTTAATTCTTCTGATTTCATTGCTCAGTATAACAGCAATTTTCTTGCGTTTTGTCCTAGCAGTGTAGCTCCCAGGAACTACAAGGCCTACTTCCCTTTTTCTATACAGCGGACTTCATATCAAGTCAAGTGTGGTTCACGCTGCCCAATATGGATTGGATAAAATCTCACTTGTCATATGACTTTGTAAGATCAACTGATGCACACACTCTTTTCGCATTGATTGATCACAGCATATAGATTAATTTCCTATGACTGAAAAAGGATTTGTAGTACAACCAGTGTCCCTGTCTTCCTTGCACCTGATACTTTTGTTTTAGTTTTGCTTGCAATATTCTGCTTCAACCTTACGAATAGCATGTTTCGGTTTAGTTTTTTATCTTTGAATACATTGCAGGCTTCTAGGGTATAACTGATGCTTGATTGCTTAAGGAGTAGTCATYACGCTTGATGATTGATTCATTGATGCCAGCAGAGGAGACGGATTTAGACTGGTGTTTTAACCTGACAGTCTTTATGGGASAATATGCATCTGAAAGCACACCAGGCTGAAGAGATGCTGAGCCTTCAAGATTGGCGTCAAACAATTGTCTTAACAGGTGTCGAATAAAGGGCCATCTTTATATACGTCGTTGCAAACTATTCAGTATCATAATAACTGCTTTTTTTTTAATCCAGGTCAAACATACAATTATTTGAAGTGCGCGGGTACGATGAAATCCGAAGATAGGCGTTTTATACTATAAATGATATCATATAATAATACTTACTAATAATACTTGAAGTCTTTTAAATGTTAAATGAAGAGAACATGTTTAAATTTGCCATTGTTTTCCTCTATTTTTGATCCGACATTATTCRGCTKCCATGTAGGCAGTAGGGGCTTTTTAAGAARATAAACCAAAAGAARGCGACAGGCGCTCCTTTTATTTAGAACCCAATTCCACGAAAAATTCAACAACATTTATGCTACGTTTATGCTAAACTAAGGATGCTTTTGTATGTGTTAGTATTTAAGGAGAAATACCCAACTCGTAAAATCTTSGTATGGAAGAACGATTTATATATGAAAGAACAATGACTTTAGCGGACTTGTACTATAAGTTTAGCTTAGGACGAAYGAGAGTCTGACGAGATTGAGTCCATCGATATTAACTTATATGAGTTAATGCTATGAATAAAACAAATCATGGAAAATAATAAGAAAACCCTCTCCGCCGGCATGATTTTTAAAAAAAATTCGGACGATAAAAATGCTTTTTTTTTACTTGGCCTTGCTACATTTGTAAACATTTTCTTTTTTAATTAAAAAAGAAAAGCTACAATGTAAATTTTTAAAATAGCTATTTTAGACTTCACGCGATGCCGGTAGAATGTTTGGCTACTTTTTGTGCTATTTAAGCAATCAAGCATTTGTCACGCAAACGGGCTCAGTAGGTGAGATCGTTTGTCAATTTTCTTGCGAAAATTGAAATATCTTCAATAAAACTAAATTACACAACGATTTCAAATATGAGAGGATTTCTTTTTTCGAGCAAAGTCAKAACTTTTTGCGCTGAGTGTCTTTTAAAGGGCTACTTGGACGAAAATTGAAACATTAGAAAAAGGCTTGGAAATCAAATAGACCTATCCATATGGGTGTAATAATCATGAAGCAACAGATTTCAAGAAAATATTCATGCAAATCCTTAATAATTTGGGCAAAAAATRTTGGAGTAGATGACGTCATCTACTCAATCCTTTTGTTCTTCCATCTTTTGAATCAAAATTTCTCTGATGTGGGATAATTCCAAGACAAATATTTTCCCGCAATTGTTTTTAATAGATATWAATGAATCATATATTTGTATTGCTTGAAGTTTTGAAATAAGGCCATTTTCATGCAAGTAGCACTTTAATATGTGTATTTAGATCAGCAGATATTTAAAAACAGGAAATATATTAATCGATATCCAGGTTCACTTTCTATCGGAAACCACTAGYTTCACTATCTGCAGGGAACTAAATTGTATGGACCTGATTAGGAGCGGCTTGTTATGGTCCAAGCCCCACACGTAGTTACTAGAGTCACTTTTGACTTTCCTCTCTCTTGTGTTCAGTTGTGTTCACAACATATTCATTCATGCAAATGATTATAATAT